AAAAAAAAAAAAAAAAAAAAAAAAACAAAACAAAACAGAAAAAAAAATCATATTTTATTTTTCCTATTAAGAAGGGTTCGGTAAATGCGCATATGAAACCGGTGGGGTTCGGTACCTCCAAAAGGGTTAAGAACCACTGTTTTAGGAGTCTCTTTGAGATGTGTGTTTATGGAGAAGTTGCAAGCAGGAAAAAAATATATAAATTAAAATAATGAATTAAATTTTTTATGCATTTGAAATAAATCCTCAGACACCAAAGTTTAAAGGTACCCTAAGGTTTGCATTTAAAGATTGATAATGAAAGGCGGGTAAGTCTATGTTGGGTAGCTAAAAGCGGCGGCTAACATTAAATAAAATAAATTAGTTGGCGCCTGGTCGTGGTAGGCCGTAGTTGAAGACGATCAGTGGAATGCTCAAATGTCGCCATATATTTCAAATTTTTGTTTTCCTTATTTTTAATGGTTGGAACATAATTTAAATCTCTTAACTTTTATTTCAAAAATCCTTTCTATTAATTTCGTTTTAGTTGGTGTGTTTCTGTGTTTAATTCTTATACTTATAGAGGAGGACTACACTCAGGCAAGTAAGAAGACATTCTAACAGAAGAGGAGTAGACTCTTTAGCCAAGAATGGCAGACATGCTTATAGAGAAGGAGTAGACTCATTAGCCAAGAAAGGTAGACATTCTTATAGAGGAGAAAAGGTCAATATTTTCATTGATGAGGAGTACACTCATGAACCAATTAAGGCTTAAGCTACATACTTATAGAAGAGGAGTAGGCTCATTAGCGAAGTGAGGTCAAGTAAGGCAAATATTATAATAGTGGATGAAAGAACTCATTAGCAAAGTAAGGTAGTCCGTCATTAACCAGGTAAGATAGACATTCCTATAGAGGAGGAGTAAACTCCTTAGCCAGGTAAGGCAGACATTCTTCCTGAGGAGGCGTCGAGTCATAAGCAAAGTTAGAAAGACATTTCTTGTGGAGAATTAAACTCTGATAACGTAAAAAAAAAAAAAAAGAAAAGTAATAAATAAACTAATCTCTTATATAAAAAGAAAGTAACTGACTTGATTTTTTTTTATTGATATTTTTTTTTTAGGTGGGGGCAGAGGCGTAGCGATGGAGGGGGGGTGCAGGCGGGACATATGTCCCCGGGTGCCAGCTATTTATGGGCGCCAAAATGTGCTTTGATATTATTTAATTGATGAAAATAATGGGTTTGAGAGTTGAAAAAAAGAAAAGGGGGCGCTTTAAAATGGATCTTGTCCCCGGGCGCGAATCTTGTCCCCGGGCGCCAAACACCCTCGCCACGCCTCTGGGTGGGTGTGTATTTTTAAAACTGACAACGACAACGCGCTTATAAAATTGTTAAAACGGGGTAGTAAAGCTTAAAATTGGGTACTGAATTAAAATGTATTTTAGATGACAATGGAGAGTTGTTGTTCTTGTGTGTGTGTAACTTCAGAATACGATGCCAGTATTATGTTATGTGTAATGATCAAGTTAATCTACCAAATTATTTTTTTAACGACATCAATGTTTCGATTTTTAAAGTTTAAGTTTGTTGGCATCGTGAACAATAGATTTAAATCTATTATAAGACGGTGATCCTTGGTGGTGTTGACAGTTTTTGCAATAACGCTGGCCAACACACACACACATATGTGTGTCTCAAATTGTAAGACTTGTTTCTAAGTGCATTTGACCTGCTGGTTTCCAGACATGGCATCCGTTTTTTTAGCTTTATCATCTCTAGTTGTGAGATTTTGAACATGCACTACTTTTGAGCGTAAAGCAAAATTTTAATTATTAAAACAAAATTGTCTTTTTTTTTTTTTCTTTTTTTTTTAAATGGCATACCGAAATCAAAATGCCTGGGACTTTTCTTTAGGTGCATAGGCTGGTTCCTTATAGACAGCAAATCACCTCACTCCGCGAATCTAGGTAACCCAAGGGAACATCCTATGTGTGGATGATACAGCTTGACGCCAGCAGCTTAGCAGGAGTTGCCGGGGTTTTCATTGTGTCAATGTCATACCACCCGACAGGAATCCATCTCCGAGTTAAAGATTAACCCAGGGTCTAGCACACAAAGGAGGAGGCTCAAGTCTAATGTATTCCTATATACTGGCACTCTTTGGCATCAATTGCCACATTTTCAACTGCTAAATTAACACAATACAACACAACAAATTTGCTAAGTAGCGTCAAGTTACATATTTATTAACACTTTAATTTAAATAGCGAAACAAATTACTATTGGAATTTCTTGTTGAACTTTGCACACCTTCTTATCTTTTGTCTGCCGCACACCTTCTTATCTTTTGTCTGCCGCACACCTTCTTATCTTTTTCTGCCGCACACCTTCTTATCTTTTGTCTGCATAGATTGATGTAAATTTACAATATATCACTTGAAACCTCTTATTCGTAAATAAATATATATTAAAATTTTATTTTTCGTCTTGCCTTAGTTTTTCCTTAGACTGTCTGAGGAATCCCCCATATGTTACAGATAAGACAGATGAAGCTAAGGTTCAAAATTTTAAAAACAACCTCTTGGCCCCAGTGTTTCAACTAATAATAATGAGACCACTCTGCTGGTCTCATGATTGTCCCAGAGTTTAAGCTGGCCGCTGGGTTTCAGCTGGAAAATTTCCCTGATTAGACTGATGACGCATTCATGGCCAGGACTTCAGCTAGCCCAGTGGTCTGCAAATCTCTGCTCGTGAGCCGCATGCAGCCCTTCAGTGACCCTAGTGTGGCCCGGCCAGTCGGCCACAACTCGAGTTTGACTCCGAAAACCATGGTTCTTGACAGGTTCTTGAAAATAAATTTGGCTCTCAAATTTTTTTCAATCATCCTACGGCTGATTTTTGGCTCTTTTGACTAATGAGTTTGCACACCACTGAGGTAGGCAATGAATGACAACACTAGGCTGGTGACATATTGGAAACACTCAAGAAGTAAAACTAGCTCCTCCAAACAATGTTATATATAATGTTTATCTTTTGGGGGAGATAGTGAACATATACACATCCCTGGGCCGTGCATTCACATTGCAGACCATTTGTGTAACATTATAGACCACTGTTGCTGAGCCTGACCAAGAACCTCAGGACTAAAGTAAATTTACCACATGCTCTCAGCCTTGCGATGATTCTTGTTTATATAAAAAAAAGTGACTATTTCAGATACAAACAGCAAGAACAGTGTACAATCAAAGTGCCAATAAGAAATACAGAGTATGGTTATTATTCCTGTGCATAACTGTCAGCAGAAGGAAAATATCAACAAACACTCTACTACACAGCATTCAAAAATAGGAAAATATCAAAAATATCATCAATCCTTCAGATACACAGCTTTCAACAATAGGAAAATATCATCAATCCTTCAGGTACACAGCTTTCAACAATAGGAAAATATCATCAATCCTTCAGGTACACAGCTTTCAACAATAGGAAAATATCATCAATCCTTCAGGTACACAGCTTTCAACAATAGGAAAATATCATCAATCCTTCAGGTACACAGCTTTCAACAATAGGAAAATTACATTATTCAAATTGGGTAAATGACATCATCAACACTAGCAAAGTGACAGCATCAACAGTACATCAAAAAACTTGTCCAGAAACAAGATGTCCACAATGTGGAAGAAATCCAAGTTTCTGCTTTATTTTGATTCACACTTTCACTACAAGATCTTTTTTCAAAAGCAAATAACATGGCCTCTGAACTTTAACCAGGGGATACAAAACCTTTTATAACAATGGCCCCATTATAACATAAAGCAACGACATAAACCGTGCATGGCATAGCATGCGATATTTCAGCGTTCCACTGTATTCTCAATCTGCGTTGTGAATTTTGTGGGTTTTTTTTAAAAATAACTTTACATAACAATCATAGATTGAAAGCCATAATGCAGCTGTCTACACAAAATCAACTTATATTAAGTTATATTATGGCTGTTTAAGTTCTAGAGCACTTGCATGGCTAAATCAAGGTTAAGTGGTTTAAGAAGTAGGAATTAAAGTAAGCAGGCTTTCAGAACTTTTTAATGTATATTTTTTAAAGATTTTAATCAAAGGATGTTTTAAAGCTCCTCAGCTGTCGAAACAGTCTTGAACCCAAAACATTCAGTGCATGCGTGTTTGGGCAAATGACTTCACCGGTCTTGAAGGGATTTCAACCTCCTACCAAATTAATAGCTGGAAAACACATTGACGAAGCAGCAATTTTTAATTAAATTTCTACTCTGTTTTGCTCTATTACTTAAAGAAAATAAAAAGTTCAATAATTTTTTTGTTTACAATCTACACCTAACAAGGCCTTTATTCTATCAGACCTGATGTGAGGCTGCATCAAATGACTCTGGCGACCCGTGGTTAAGACTTTTTTTTATGAGTCCAGTAAAACCAGTGATTTAACAGTGTTTGAAATGTATCATCATAAATGATGAGTAGAGGTAAAGAGAATCATATCATGACTAGACTGAAACATCATCAGGTATTTGAAAGTGACGATTCGTCAAGAAGATAATCACGTCATTACGCATGATTAAACCGACTGAAAAGGTTTGTTGGCATAAAATTCTCTTATCATAAAATTACCTGATATATCATAAAATTGCTTCATATATCATAAAATTACCTGGCATACCTGTAGTATTTTCAGCAACAAATATTCTGTAACAAAAAAGCATTGCAATCATTTGATTCACCAAGTGGTTGCTTTGATTTCATATAAGGCTGCGGTTATTGAACATGGGCTAGTCTTCATGGAACCGGAAACGCATCACCACTATTTGGACCCGGGTCCCTTTAGACAATAATTAATTATTATTTTTTAAATTTTAATCCCAACCTCTAACTTCTCAGACCCGGGTCCGAATAGCCACTTCGTTCAAATAAAATTAATTCATCAGTTTTGGTTCGACAAGGGATGAACAATGATTACTTGGTTGTGCAAAGGGTCAACAACGATTATGTGGCTTACAAGGAGTAAGCAATGATTATTTATTTAAGTATGATATAAACAATATTTTTTTTGGTTGTTCAAGGCCAGCAATGATTATTTGCTTTTAAAAATAAATTTATTTAAATTAATTTAACAGTTTGCAGTCCAACACTTTTATTATTACAGAGAATTGTATTGATGGGACTTCATGTTTGCTGTCAATCCAATTCTAATCATATAATTGAATAGGGGATCAGATTATAAACAGGTAAGTGAAGAACGAAATAGGGCAAAAGAGAAATGCAAATAATGGATCAAAAACATATGTACATTCCACAAGATTGCTAATTTCACTACCAGGGTGAAACAGCTATTCACTTAAGCACTTAAATAAAATTCAGCTTATGCTTGGGGGAACATGATGGGACAAAAATACAATAGCATACAACACTGTAAGTTCCTCATGAAATCTCCACTTGAACTGCTGTGATCTCCATGGGAGGCACTTGTAGGAATGAGCTGGGATTGATCACAGATATTTGACGATTCATGTTTAAGGAGGTCACAACACTTTTTTTCACTTCTGCATTAGTAAACAAACCGGAAAGGGTGACCTGAAAGAGGGAGGATAATCGAAATGAACTAAATTGAAACAGTACCCTATTCTTGGTTGAACACTTTAAAAAAAAATTATTTTTTAAACTTTCAAATCCACTATCTGAAACGGCATGGCTCATTAGACTTAAATGTCTTAAATGGCATGGCTCTTTAGACATATTTGTCTGAAATAGTAAGGCTCATTAAGCTTAATTGTCTGAAATAGTATGGCTCATTAGACTTCCTCATTAGACTTCATTGTCTGAAATGGCATGTCTCTTTAGACATATTTGTCTGAAATATTATGGCTCATTAGACTCCATTGTCTGAAATGCCATGGCTCATTAGGCTTAATTGTCTGAAATAGTATGGCTCATTAGACTTTCTCATTAGACTTCATTGTCTGAAATTGCATGTCTCTTTAGACATATTTGTCTAAAATATTATGGCTTATTAGACTCCATTGTCTGAAATGCCATGGCTCTCATTTTTTTCCAATATGGCAGACATGAATATATCTTGGTTTATGCCACCAGTGACCAAAACATCCATGTAACTTTTTAGAGTTTATGGCAATTTATTTAGACTTTTGCATACACCAGGTGAATTGCATATCTGGTAAAAAAAAAAATTCAAGGAAACGCTATGACTGTAATCGTTACTTTTAAGAGGAAATTTCTAAAAATAAATTAAAAAACAAGATATATTCTCCAGACTATTTTATGCCCACTGAAGTCAGTTTTTTAATTTAATTTTAATAATAAATGCTTAATAAGATAAGATCAGAAATTTTTAATGATCCAAATAAATGGAAAGTTGTTTTTTATTCATCGTACATATCTTATTTTCAGTCTTTAAAATCCTTGTTTGAGTTTTTCGTTGTTCCTTAAAATTAGTCTGGATCAAGACTTTTGGCGAATAATTTTGTGGTAAGAAAAGCTCAATAGCTTTTTGTTTCAATGGAGTTCTCTTTTTCTTTTAATTTTTTTTTTTTATACAACATCAAAGACACTCCTTTTGTCTGAAGAATTTGTCTTTGGATGGTTGTTTTCATCTTGCCATTTGTTTACAAGATGACTTATTCTCTTTTCCAATAAGATGGATATGAATATATCCTGGTGTATGCCAACAAAGTCCGAAAATTCCTTTTAGAGCAAGCAGCGAACAAAACTACAGTAAAATAACCAAGTCAATATTGAGTGTGATTACCTTGCCCTCCTGCACTAGGCATGAAAGGTGTGGTTTTGGAAAACTGCAGTCACTTGGGAGATGACGAAGTAATAAGAGACTGGACTCTTTGGGAACATACTGGAGCTGATGAACGTATCAGATTTTTCAATAACAGAATTTGAAAGAATGTATACCCATTATTTGATAAAATATTATAACTCCATTATTTTAAACAAAATAACATACGCATTATTTGATAAAAGAATATATACCCATCATTTGATAATAAATGTATATCAATTATTATTAACATAATTTATTCCATTTATTTGATGTCACATTAAGAAATGGCGTCAGCGGGCCGTCGAGCTAATGCTATTTATGCCCTCCCCAAAGCACTCCCCATAAGCCCGTTATCAGGCCACAAAGCGGCACGTTGGAGATGTCCCTTTTGCAGTACAGTCCCCACTCCAGTCCGCTTGATCGGGTTCCGCTGGACCCCCCCCCCCAACCCAGCACACAGTGCACACAATAGACTTTCTCAGGAGTCGGGATGGTAGATTTACGTCCTAATATCTTCCCCCACCCGGGGAAGCGTCAGACGCCCTTTAACCCTTTTTCAGTACAGTCCCCCCTCCCGTCCGCTTGATCGGGTTCCGCCGGGCCCCCCCCCCCCCAACCCAGCACACAGTGCACACAATAGACTTTCTCAGGAGTCGGGATGGTAGATTTACGTCCTAATATCTTCCCCCACCCGGGGAAGCGTCAGACGCCCTTTAAGAGGGTTTCCACAGTGGCTTTCTACCACACAACTAATTTGCGAAGTAGCTGGGATGAAACGGTTGCCTTGGAGCAGCTTCTCAGGGCTGCGTAGTAAGAATCATCGGCTAGCGTTTACCACCTTTATTTCATAAAAGACTCAATATCCATTATCTGATGAAAGACTATATACCAACCAAATACTCTTTACGGATAAGAATTAAGACACTATATATAATCTCTATTGAGTAAAAGAATATATCCTCTTTATTGGATAAAGGAAATATATGCTCTTTAGGGGATATATACTCTTTATCAGATAAACAAAATATACTTGTGGGCAATGTGGGATAAAAGAAATATATACTCTTTATATTATTAGATAAAAGAATACATGTTTTTATGTGATGAAAGAAACTATACCGACCTCCTTATCATCATCACTGTTTTGCAGCACCCTGAGGTTGAGCATATGAACTTCACAGGGGAGGGAATCGGTTAGTAGGAAGAATTCCTTATCTAATGTTAACTCCCTTCCATGAAAACTCCTTGGCATGACAAACATGGGGTGAATAAGTGCTAAAGATGACAGCTGTGCTAGTAGTGACGGGAATGACGTTTCTGGGTCAACTATCTGAAAAAAAAAAAAAATATGTAAGAAAGCACTTTGCAATCATTCTGGATTCAATCCAAATGATTGTAAGTATGATAAATTTAATGAATGAATAAATGTACAGCTGCAAGATGCTTATGTGAAACGCACCAATAAATTTTTGGATCAAATCTATTGATTATATCATAACAAAAATATTGTATCAAAATGAAATGCCAGCAGGCTGATGATAGCTTGGACATCTGGTACAGAGATCTATGGTTAGTAGCTTGCATATAAAGAGTTTGACAGAGAGTGATAGACATGTCATTGTTGCTGTTAACTTGCATATAAGGGGCCAGGACAGAGTGCTGTTGCCTTACATTGCTTTCAACAGCTTGCTTATCTGGTACAGAAAGTTATGGACCAATTCAGAGAGGAGAGAGAGAGACCACACACCCATGGTTGTTTTACCTCCACATTTGTCGACCGTTTCTCAAACAGCAATCTGAACCTGTTCGGTGTGGGCCTGTTGTCAAGGACGCCTTGACCCAGTCCCCTGTTGTCATCCTGGTTTAATCTACGGTCAAACATTATGTCTATGGCGCCTGAGAAAAATAAATGGCAGCACATGAAGGTATCAGTGAATCAACAGGAAACTACAATCCATTTCTTGACCAATACAATGTAACATGGACAGTAAGTAATGACATGACATGGCGACGGAGAAGTAGCAGATCAATACAATGTAACATGGACAGTAAGTAATGACATGACTTGGGGACTGAGTAGTAGCAGATTAATAAAATGTAATGTGCATAGTAACTAATGACATGACTTGAGGATTGAGTAGTAGCAGATCAATAAAATGTAATGTGCATAGTAAGTAATGACATGACTTGGGGACTGAGTAGTAGCAGATTAATAAAATGTAATGTGGATAGTAAGTAATGACATGACATGGGGACTGAGAAGTAGCAGATCAATAAAATGTAATGTTGACAGTAAGTAATGACATGACATGGGGACTGAGAAGTAGCAGATCAATAAAATGTAATGTGGACAGTAAGTAATGACATGTCATGGGGACGGAGAAGTAGCAGATCAATAAAATGTAATGTGGATAATAAGTAATGACATGACGCAGGGACTTAGTAGTTACTGATCAATAATCATGAACACTTCAGCAATGAGTTTGCCTAATTCCATCTCTTTTGAAAAGCTTCACTGACAGTTTTACTTTTCATGCTGACATGTATCTTTATGATGGGGGAGCCTATCAAATAGATTTTCATGTCTCATATTAACAGCAGATGTAGCCGGACCTAAGTTTTGAACTGTTGTTTGGAGTGAAGTGCAAACATTAATAGTAACAGCATTCAGATATTGAGAACTTTGAAAGCAGCTGCCCATCCAGTGTAAACTTACCGGGTAATATATTGCCAACGCCAGAAGACTGCGCTGACAACACGCTAACTCTCCTGCTGCCATCTTGCACGTACGCCATGGTTGGCATGGGGTAGATGTTGCCTTGCAGTGTCAGCTTTTCATAGTATTTCCTTTTTTGCATCTGTAAAAAAACAATGTTTAGGAAACCGACTTGAAACCCCAAAAACAATAAATAGTTTTAAAACCTTTTGAACTGTCAGTAAGTCAAGATATTATCTGTGCTTCTTCTATATATTAAGGGGCCACGATCCATTTATTCATCATTTTATTCAAATATTTGTTAAAAATGATGGAACAAAGAACATGTCCCTTCCACTAGACCCATAATCCCCCCCCCCCCCACTTTCTTCACCTTATCCCTGACAATTGCTAATCACAGTTGCACCAGGAAATGTTACAAAATTTACAAAATTTTATTTTCAATTAAATGAGGAAAGATGCTACATTCAGCTGGACTCAGTGCAAACCATTAAATCATTTAGTTGAAACTGTTTGAAGACGTCTCTGGTGTTACTTTGTGGTATTAAATCTGTGTTTCACCAATTTTTACCTAATCTTTGCATTTGAACAAAATTATTCACAATTTTACAGTGTTTTTGCATAGGAGGGCTTCTTGGGAAAATCCTGAATTCGGGAAGGGCGTTGAGAATCAAATAACGTTTTCAAACAACGGATTTAAAAAATAATTAAAAACATGAAAGTTTTGCTCTGCCTCACCCTTTACAAATAGATCCACTGGCCCCAAAGTTTTTGAACTACATGCTTTGAAAACAATAATTTAGCTTGAATAATTCGAAAATTTATATTGTAAATTTATCAGCTGATAATCAGGTGGGATCTAAAGCCAAGACAATTTTTCAATTACCTGGAACCCATTGAGATCTGAGTAAAAAGTGTGGTCTGTGTTCTCCACGTTTGTGTGTATTCTGACACCAACTTCTTTGTTTTGTGTACTTCTGATGTCGACAATATTGGACATGTCTATGGATGTGCCATCAGTGCCTACAAGTAAGATGGAACAAGTCATTATTGGAAATATTTAGGGATGTGCTGTCACCGCCTACAAGTAAGATTGAACAAATCACTCCACAATATCATTGGACACATCCAAGGACATCCCGAAACCTACAAGTCAGGTGAAATAATTCAATATTTTTATATCCAGAGCAGCTTATGGTAGGGTCTACGAAGAACTCACGCACGCATGGTTTGGCGCATACCCAAAAGTAACGCAAAACTTGTGCGACCATTATAACATTCGTCTCGGTGATCATCTCTTTCTTTTTTGTGTTTTACGTCACAGATTTCTAATAATAAACTATTTTGTCATCAGTGACGTAAAGCACTTATTTTTTCCAAACACCGCGATATCATTTTTGCAGCGCTGTGTATTTTTTTAAATGGCACAGGATTTATTTTAATGGATCGATATGTACTTAACAGTATTACTTTTTAATGCAAACTCACAAAGCATAGAGCTTTACCGCGCAAGAGCTTCAATTTTTCACAAAGAGGAATAACTTTATTTCATTAATAATACCAATAGCTGAAAAAAGTTAGAGACCTCAAGAGTTTTTTGAAAATTGAGCTTTTCACCAGTTATCCCACCTCAAATAACAAAATTGGGTTGTCGCAAATGGCTCTCGTCATTAACATTTTAATATGAAGATCTGAAAAAGATGACAATTAATGTTCATCTTCAAAGATCTGTGGAACACTTATCAGTTAATTAATGGGAAGCAGTTTTACAGTATTATTAGAAATTATTACAAACCAGTAAATCAAAGAGTTTTTATTCATTTTAGTTTGTGTAGTCTGTTGAATTTCTGACCAGTTTTGTCCCTTGATTTAAATAAACTATTATACAATAATATGTACAATATCAATTTAACTTTAGAAATTTTATGAGAGAATGCCAAAACATTTTATCCGATCTTCTTTATTGAATCAATATTCATATCGTCTTGACAAAGTTATTGAGTTTACAGACTAATAACATTATATTTCATCATTCGGGGGAAGGGGGGGAGGGGATAGAAAAGGTTCGTGTAACAGAAGTTTTCTTTTTACTCTGTGGTCTATGTGGATATAAAAATGTTAACAAAAATAATGAGACAGGGCGTAAAGATGGTTATACACAACCATCCTTACGTCAGGTGTAACAAGGCAGATGGGTAAGGCTTACCAGGAGAATTATGAAGCCTCACAACATGCTGTATGTACTGGGTGGACACGTGCACTTCTGATGTTATGGGACCTTTGATGATCTTGATGAGATTTGGTCTTGACGTGAGCAGCGGCTGCAAAACAAGGATTTCAAATTCATTTTCTGCACTGTAAATGACATTACAATGGAAGCCCAAATACCACACCAATACACTGTGTTACAATGAGCAATTTATAAAATAAGGTGTAAAAAAATAGTTGTGACAGGTAATGGGGGGGAAGAACTGTACCTTGGCATCACCATCAGGTAAGAACAGGTATGCACCAGACTTGTCATTGGCCAATCTGGTTCCATACTGAATAAATTCCAGTTCGGATTTGAATTCCTCTCCATTGCTGAGAACTTTGACGGACTGGAAGAGAAATATATAAAGTTCATGCAGCTGGAAGGGAAGATTTCCTCTGCCCTCCATTCGTGATGTGCCCAGTCACTCACACAACCATCACCACAAAGATCTCACAATATCTGATCACTCAGTAAGCTCACTGAAAAGTCTATATCCACAGTATTAAAGGGATCATTCGGTCTCGGACATTTTGCACCAAAAACTACTTTTAAAAAATATCACAGGTGCTAGTTTTATAACATTTTGGATTGGGTTTTGAGGGAACATTCTCAAATATTTAAAGTGTATCCCTGAACAACTGTTCAAACCCCCTCCCCCCCCCCCCCCCCAAAACCCCCAACAAAAAAAAAAAACAAAAAAAACATATTTTCAACACACTAGATGTGGACATAGAATCAAATGTGTGAAGTGATCTTCTCATCCAAACCTTTAGTAGTCCAGTGGTTCCTGAGAAGGTGCTCTCCAGAAACTTAGTTTCAAGTTTGAAATCTGATTCCTTGGTCACTGAATCAATGGGGAATGGACCCCTGTGGGATAAAAAAAAATTAAATTACTTTTGATGAAGTTATTTACAATTGTTGATTGTTTCTGAAAGTCTGAACTCATTTCTTAGCATCCTAGTTTTGTCAACTAACCCAATAACATCAGTTCTTGTCAACTCACCCTATAACATCCTAGTTTGGTCAACTCACCATAATAATAACATCATAGTTTTGTCAACTCACCCTATAATATCATAGTTTGGTCAACTCACCATATAATAACATCATAGTTTTGTCAACTCATCCTATAAAATCATAGTTTTGTCAACTCACCCAATAAATCATAGTTTGGTCAACTCACCATATAATAACATCATAGTTCTTGTCAACTCACCCCTTAATGCCATAGTCCTTGTCAACTCACCCTTTAATGCCATAGTTGTTTGTCAACTCACCCTTTAACGCCATAGTCCTTGTCAACTCACCCTTTAACGCCATAGTTCTTGTCAACTCACCCCTTAATGCCATAGTTCTTGTCAACTCACCCCTTAATGCCATAGTCCTTGTCAGCATTGAGCAGCGTTATGGACACCAGATGGTTCTTTGTGTCCTCCCCTGCCCCAACTCTCTTGATAGTGAATTTTTTAATACTCAGCCCAGGCAGGTCAGCTACAAATGAAATCTGCTCATGGTGCAGATAGGAGAATCAATTATTGAACAAAATATTTCATTGTGTGAAATTGTTGAGCAAAATATTTTAATGGGTAAAATTATCCTAGAAATCTATTTAAGAAAGTTTTTCATCCTGAATTTTACCAGCCCGCTGTGTACAATAAAGGGTTGACACATCTGTTGTTTCATTTGTTTTGTTTTCCCCCGAGGAAGTCCTTTTTGCTGAAACATCTGTTGTTTCATTTATTTTTTTTTTTCCTTCAGGTTTTTTCCACTTACTTCATTTCATATAAATTAAATGAAATTTATTTTTCACTTGTTAGAAAATAAAGAAACTAATTTGACATTAATGTTTCATTTTCAGTAGATCTTCTAGTTGCTTGACCTTTTGTGCATGGGTTATTTTGAAAAGATCCTACAAAAAGTCCTTGAGCAGAAATGAATTTCTTTCAACAAGATTTAATGAGACAATTTTGCTGGGCTGTTTAATTTTTTTTTTTTTTTTTAATGGCTGCTCCCCAGTGATCAGCTCACTGAAATGTTTCTTTGTGCAAAAATCTCACACACCCTGGCGGAAAGGGCTCTAAGGTGTGCACAAAGTAGTCAAGGGGAGACGGTGATAAAGGTTATGCAATTGACAAATATAATGATGGGGGACTGTGATATCTGGTTATGCAATTGGATATAACAAATATAATGATGGGGGACTGTGATATCTGGTTATGCAATTGGATATAACAAATATAATGATGGGGGACTGTGATACAGTGTTATGCAATTGGATATAACAAATATAATGATGGGGGACTGTGATAAAGGTTATGCAATTGGGTATAACAAATATAATGATGGGGAACTGTGATATCTGGTTATGCAATTGGATATAACAAACACAGGGTATGGGGAAAACCAGACAGGGGAGACAAAAACAAAACATGCTGTCAAAAAGCCTTCTACAGTGAACAATAAAAAAAAAACAGCACAAGCGGATTTTTTTTTTTTAGAGAACGCAAATTTTGATTTTAATTTTTTTTAAAAGCACAAACCTTAAAGACGCCGGGGGAAATGGCCCCAAACTCTGCCCAATGCGGTTCAGCCTGTGAGTGGATGATCTGGTCATTGGAGTCTCTCACTTCAACAAAAGGCCAGGATGTCCACAACTTGACCACTTCTGTTCTTGTCTGGGCCAGTGAGTTGTAGAGCAGGACTGGCCTAGCAGAGCAAAGATCATTCAAATAACACACATGTTATCAGGGTAATAGGCGGCCAAGGGTTGAAAAAGTTTGAGGTAACAAATACAATTTACTATCAAGCCACATGAAGCGACAAGGTTGGCGTGATTGTAGGGGAAGCGACTCAAACAATGTTTTCCAAGTACCACACACAAATCTCTCCCTGCATCACAGACTTTTATTTGTTTATTATTATTATGACACATCATATAAATGTCCAAAGACACATTATTCATTACTATGGGCGGGAATTTTTAAATTGGTAAAATGGTCTTTCTTTGTTAAGTTAGCATCTTTAAATTTCAATGAATCAAGAGTCACACAAAAATTCCATTTTACATAAAGAAATTTTTTTGGACAAAATGTTTTCAAGTTAGCTTCATTCACAAATCAATTGGGAGAAGATCTCACACAGTGAAATAATCTGTCTTCAGAGTTGTAGTCCCTGATCCACGTTGTTTAAAAATATATCCTAACTTGGCTTTTACACAGTTCTACTTACTATGCCTTTTAACTTCATTTTACTTGCTTATGCTGTTAACTTAGTTCTCCTTACATTGGCTGTTAGTGCGGTTTTACTTACTTTGACTGTTCACCTAGTTCTAGAACTGGACGGTTGGGTAAGCTGTCATGTGATGTCCTCATCTCGTCCTAGACGCGGTGAATGACAGTGAACAGTAAATTTTATAAGGAGATAAGGTAAGAATTTAATTCTAAACAAAGCAAGCGTGGTGAGCAGTAGAACATCAATTATGATCAAAACAAACAACTCAACACCCAAATCTTACTTACGATGTTAAATAAAAGTTTGTCCTCAGTCCACGTGTAGTCAGTTTTCTTCTGCATCAACAAGAATGCACTGCACTCTGCTATGATGGTCTTGGCATTGGTGATGGCTTTGTGCAATCTAAAGATACATTATAAATGTACTGTGTCAGGCAGGGTCAACGAATATAGTATTGGTTACATTTTGTTACAGGTTGAGTGTGGCTGGAGACTACGAACCAAGCAGGATTTGTATGGATTGTACAAAAAGCCCACGCTAGTAGTAGAAATTAAAAAAGGGGCAGGCTGCGGCGGACAGGACACTTAGAAAGAATGACAGAGGAGTGAAGAGGCTGCACCACCAAAGCCCCAGAGGAAAATGCCTCAAAGGCGGACCTAAGCTTTAGATGGATGGATGATGTGGAAAAAGATATGCAGCAGCTGGGAATCCATGCATGGAAAAGAAAAGCATTAGTTACGTCTGAGTGGAAGGAAGTGGTGAGGCAGGGCAAAGCCCTGCATGGGCTATAGCGCCACAGGGAAGGGTGTACATTTTTTTTTACAAGAGGATTTGTATTTAAACTAATATTCAAAAATAATTTAGACTTTTCAGATAAATAACATATAGATAATCCTTTTCTAAGACAATTAGTCAAGTGATGTATTTTAACATCTTCCCTGCCTGGACATGGATAATATATAAATTTGTATATCTCAGGTGAAGTTGTGAAGCCTCAAAGATTTTATGCAATTTAAATGTTAAACTTTTTTAGCATTAAATGGCAATCTTTAATCCTATGTTCAGTTGGATAATGTCTTTTGAATGCAGCCGTTTTAAAAACTGACCACCTTATCACAATGACAGAACTGACCTCTGGCCGTAGTCAACAACAACATGCTCTTTGGCCGTCCCAGTGATTGCATCGTGGTGCTGGAACAGGCCGAGACCTCTCCTAGACTCCACGAGTTTCTGCATGAAGACTTTACTAGGGAAGTTGGCAGATGAATGCTTTCTCGCCTGGACCTGAGACAAGCTGAATATAATTTCAGCTGATCTGATGATAAAATTAATTCAACATTATTTGGCAACGCATTGCAAGGACATATTTATTTTGCGAAACAAATAACAAAAATTCTAGATGGACTTCAAAGCAGAATGAAGAACCTGAAGCCTAAATAGTCATTAAAACTTACAGGGGAATTACTTTTTTTAATATATATATGCCTACTGAAATTGTACATTAGAAAATGGCTTCAGCGGGCCGTTGAGCTAGTACCAAGCTCTTTATGCCCTCCCCAAAGCATCCCCCCCCCCCCCAAATAAGCTAGAGTATCCGGGCCATGAAGCAGCACTTTCAAGACCTCCCTTCACCTGGACAGCCCTCACAGCGCCCACTCGGTCGGGTGTCAATGGAGACCATCCCAACATAATGACAGCGTCAGCATTCCAATTTCCCAGGGGGTCGGGATGGTATAATTATGTCCTAAAATCTGAGTAAAAGGCTGGTATAAGGGCTAAGATCGACAAAATAATTATTCATGTTTTGAAATAAATTAATAAATTATGCTTGTTCTTTTTCTGCTGTTATCGCGACTGATGGAATGGCCATTGGTGGAGTTTCCAAACATTAAACTAAATTCCAAAATAAGCTTCATTAACTTTATATGAATCCAATGTTACAATTAAAATTATTTTAACTTTGTATGTTATTGCTTTGTATGTTATTGAAATTTGATTGTTTTATCAAAATATGATGTACACAATTTTTTTTTTTAAATGGGGGGGGACCACAAAAAAACCAGCCCTGTAAGCGGTTCAAAACAGGATGTTCTCAAATATATGTAAACTGTGTCACCTTAGATTATGCTCCAAAACACGATCAAGATTTTTTTGAAGAGGTCGAGATGTAAAATATCCTGTCCAGTAATGGTCGTCCCTATCGGCGTAGGAGAAGAAATCCCCACTGAGGCTGGGAATAATTGGAGGGGCGTGTCCTGGTACTGTCTTTGTCTCGGTGTACAGTAAATTGAAGTAATCACTCAGTGTGCCGAACTGACCCTGTTATAAAGGTGTGAAAAGTAAAATTTACACCTGAGATAGAAAGCTGAAACTAAGTCATAAAGGGATGAAAATTAAATATCAAACGAGGGCTAAACTGATAGACACTGACCGATCAAAACTGACCTTAAAATAGCAGATTTTTGTTTCAGAAATGTTTAAATCTAAAAAAACTTCCAATTGTTTGTTAACTAACCGTAAAAGTCATTGCGTACAAACTTTTGTGAAACACTGACTAAGCAGCTCCCGGTGACTAGATCAGAGACACTATATAGTATAACTGTGCTCCTTACTCTAATTGTTTCGAGTTCAAAGCAGCATTCATCCTGGTTACCTGGGCTCCAAGTTCTGGGTGTGTATTCAAATAGCTGAATATCTTCTCGTAGTTGCCGAACTGCAGGTCAAACTCTTCCATCTGCATGTAGCGGAAATCATCTCCGAGCGGAACAAGAAGGACGTTGGTTTTGTACAGAGTGGCTTTCTTCTTCCATTGATCTAGGATTAATCTAGTCCTGTTGGCAAATATGGTGGCTTTTGTAACCATGAGGTGTGAAGATGTAACCTTATACAATATTGAAATTACCTTTTACAAAATAAAACTTAACTGCATAACCACATAAAAAAATTTAGAGTTAAAAATTTCAACACTGATTTCTAAGCCCTGCTTTCATAACAAAGATTCAGAACCGAACAAGCTTCACACTTCAGACCAATTCTATCTCAAATGTTTAACACACATTTACATTACTTTACAAGTAACTTGCTCACACCTAATACCATTGAAACTTAAGGTCAACAGTCTCAAACTGTACACATTCTATACCTTTGTAAATTTATGGCTATAGTCCAAAACATTCCATACCCTTGTAACTTTAGAGCAGTAGTCCCAATCTATAAACAAACTATACCCTTGTAACTGTAGGGCAATAGTCCAAAACATTCTGCACCCTTTAACTTTAGAGCAGTAGTCCCAATCTATAAACAAATTATACCCTTGTAACTGTAGGGCAATACTCCAAAACATTCTATATCCTTGTAACTGTAGGGCAATAGTCCCCAAATGACATACAAACTGAAAATGGAAGCAAAAATTTCACAAACCTTTCTTCAACATTTATGTCATTTATAGCGACTGGGTTAATATTCCATGGGCATCTGAAGGCACTACCTGGCAATCTCCTAAAGTCAAACTGGCAACATACAGCAGGCTCGGGGCCACATGTATGGGGAATGTCATATGAATAAAATGGCATCAAATGTGTAAATATGTCAGTGTTGCCAGAGGAATCTGCCACATGGAGGATAGAATAATAATTTGAATCAGTAAGTTAACTCTTATAAGGTTAACATATTGGAAAACCATGCAGTAAATCAATAAAGCAATATATTACATAATTATTTATTTTTTTTTTAAAAAGAAAATAACATTAAAAATAGTCATCAAAATGAATTTAACATCACGGTTAAGCTTTATTATAAGCATTACTTTGAATAAGGCCCAAATTTTGTCCCCCTAGATTTTACTATCATCATCAATAATGGAATGAGGTTAAATAATTTGTAGTTAAAGCCTATTTACTTATGCCCCCCCCCCCCACCACCCCCTTTGATCAAGTTTCTGTTGTTTTCTGTTTTTTCTTCTAGAAATTTCTCGAGTTAAAAATATCTCAGGATACGTTTTTGTCAATAAGAGACTAATGTTGTTTTTTCTTTCATTAGAAAATGTAATTTATGAATTTGATGTTCTCACAATCTTTGACTTTAGGGCAACAGTACAATTCATATAAATTAAACACAACCTAGTTTAGGGGCAATAACTACACTGCTAGTACTAGAGAATTACATTAAATCTAGACTTATCTCCCTTTTCTTGAAAGGAAAAGCAGGTCCAACTCCTCTTAGTTCAAAAATAATATAATACTCTTACATTCTACAGCATATACAAAGTAACATAGCTCACCCCAGTGTTGTCTCCACATGAACTCAAGGTTGCTGTCCTTGGCCAGATATTTCTTCATGGAGTAATGAACCCTCTGTATGAGCATACTATTAAAGTTTGAGCGTTTGAGTAAATAGGCCATGGTGGACGAGTAGCCGAACGGGTCAACGGCCCAGCCAGACTGAGGTTTGTAACCTGTCGTAAACATAAAAGTTTGAGGACTTATAGGGGAAAACAAATCACGAATGATGTTGTGATATTAATTTGTTTCCTTGCATTAATATCACGCCTATTCATTAAAAGCATGTGGCTGTGATAATGGCAATAATAAAGAGATTAAATAACAGATAAGGAAATTGACACCACATGGCAAGGCCACTGACACCACATGGCAAGGCCACTGACAACACATGGCAAGGCCACTGACACCACATGGCAAGGAAACTGACACCACATGGCACGGCCACTGACACGACATGGCAAGACCACTGCCACCACATGGCTAGGCCACTGACACCACATGGCATGGCCACTGACACCACATGGCAAAGAAACCAACACTACATGAACACACATTTTTTTTTATTTTGTATAAAGAAACATTCTCCACGACCACCCAACTATTTTTTTTTTTTTTTTTTTTTTTTTTTTTTAGCATTCAAAATCTCATGTACTTCTTTTAAAACATTACCCAACATTCTTAATTTGATAACAGTACCCAGTTCCCTTTAAAAAAAAACCACCAAAAAAAACCACCAAAAAAAACCACACAATTTATTACGGAGTTGAGCGAGTTAAAAACGATCCAGCGAAAGACTACGAACCCAATGTTGAGTTCAGCCACTGGTTGCCCTCTATCAGCTGGTCCAGCATGGCAAAATAGTGGGCGTTGGCTTCATCTGTCATGACCCATCCGCCAGTGGTGAACTCAAACTGACCATTGTCAATCAGTCTATGTTGTAGTTGTTGGGGAGAAATGTGAAGATTGGAAAATAACATTATTCAATGCCAAATGTAAGGACAAAACATGCATAAATATATTTCATAATTTTTTAAGTTTGTGATAGTTTGGGATTTTTTTTTTTTAAATGTGTGTGTTTCTTCAGAGCACCTTCAGAGTGCGTTTTACTAAAAGGGTTACGTTTTATTAAAATGTTGGTGTATTAAATTATTTTGAAAGACAAGCACCTTTTGACCCTCTGCTTCAAGTCATCACCAATGTCCCCCCACCATCTCGAGAAGTAAGAGATCTCCGTGAACATGAACTTGTACTTGGGATTCTGCTCAAGCTTGGGCACAAAGTTATCAAGGATGTGCCTGGTCTGTGTGCTGTAGTACTCTTCAAAGGTCTTGATCCAACCTGAGCAAAGATATATACGGGACAGTCAGGTCTGCGTAATAAACATGGGTAGGACATGCAGGTCAGCACTGTAAAAATTGTTATACATTCAGGTCCACATATTAAAACATTGATAGGACATTAAGGTCAACATGGTACAACATTGATAGGACATTCAGGTCAACATATTAAGACATTCATAGGACATTCAGGTCAACATGGTACAACATTGATAGGACATTCAGGTCAACATATTAAGACATTCATAGCACATTCAGGTCAACATAGTAAAACATTAATAGAACATTTGAGTCAGCATAAATAAATTGATAGGGCAGTCAGGTCAGCATAAAAAAATATTGATAACTCAAGTCAATAGTCTGGATCAAACGTAATCAACTGAAGACATTGACAATGATGAAGCAATACAAAAATTTTAAAACGGCTGCCTCTTTGGAGATTTAAGAATAATATAAAAATTATATAAAAACTAATGAGTTGCATTTACGCATTGTATATTTAATTTAATTTGCATGTCTTTTCATTCATTAGGTTGTTCACTAAAGCCTCGGACATGTTTACGACATTCTTACCAGTATCACAATGGTATAATAAACTGCATCACTACGTACTTACCAGGATCACAATGGGTATGAGGTACTAGGACAATCTTGAGTTGATTCCCCTGAGTCCACCGGTCAGAAGGGTAGGTGACCTGCCACCCTTGTTTCCAAGGCCCACCATCGGGATTGTCAAAAGGGATTTCTGCCACGACCTTGTGGATCTGTTGTCGTGAAAACAATAAAACTCTACACTGTACCACAAGGTGAAAACCTCTTTGCATTTACCTCAACAGCGTGCTACAAGACTTTATTTTGAAGCGTAATGCAGGGTGAGGTACTTTGATTTAAAACAAATCACTAAATTTTTTTAAAAGAAAAACTGTGGCACAATTTTGACTAAGCTTCTTTTACATTAAAAAAATGTGTAAGCATTGTCAGGTATGTATATTGCCAGACAAGTCAGATGAATGTATAAGAACCATAACACTGTCTCCCAGATGTGGGTGAATGCAATCACATGTGTCTAAAATATGATCCATTGACGTTCAGCCTAAAACGTGCATTTATGGCTCACATTTAGCTAACATTTATGGCTAAACTTTCAGCTTACATTTGTGGCTAAATTTTTAGCTTACATTTATGGCTAACATTAAGCTTATATTTATGGCTAAACTTTTAGCTTGCATTTACGGCTAAACATTTGTGGATAACATTTTAGGCTTACATTTATGTCCGTCTGAGCGAAAGCACTTTCACCCCAAAGACACATCTCTGTAAAAAAAAAAGAATTAAATATTTGAAATGAAAATCTTAAATGAGTGTCTTGAATGGCTGGAAAATTAATTTTGTAACAGCAACACTGCAATAAAAAGCAAAAATTAGTGCAGAGTTCCTTCTCAGTGTTCCTACAAAGACTAATGCTGGAAAGAAGTGTAAAGGCTGGTGGGCATGCATCAGTAGCATTGCTATGTCGATAAGCAGGACCTTAAGTATGAATGGAATGAGAACTTGAATTTCAAACCGATGATAAGGGGGGGGGGGGGGGGGGGGGGGGGGAAATGCATAAGTGGTGTAATAATTTTTTTTCCCCCCACTTGTTAAGAAAGAAGAAAACAAAGGAGGAGCTACGAAAATTATAAAATTTGCCTAAGAATCTTTTTTTTTTCTCATTCATTCATTTTATCATTTCAACAAACAGGAATATTTAAATAGAGGCATACCTCTACTATGCAAAACAGATAGTATTTGCTAAACAAGTTTGTGAATAATACTGAGCATCTGGGCTTACTTAACGACGCATTATGCTCTAACCACCAAATGTCACACATACCACTCAAAGTGTTTTTATTGAACTTTGTAAGTAAATTTTTATGTTATATAAAAATTTTTATAACATAACAGGGGAAAGCAACTAACACAAAAACCAAGGTTTCTGTATTCTATGAAGCCCAACAAATTCAAATGTTTTTTTTTTGTTGCTTTTTTTTTTTTGTCGTTTACTTGCAATGCAAGTACTCACCCTTTGAAAAAGGAGTCTCAACAAACACAGACACTTCATAGGACTCTTCCTTCCTTAATTTGTCAACTTGAAGTAAAGCTATCTGCTGGGCAGGAGATGGGGTTTTTTGTTCCTGGTGATAACAAACAGAAAAGCAAATAGAGGGAGGAAAAAAGTAAACTTGTTTACTTTGGTGATAGAAATATCAATCTCTGGTGGGTGTAATTTCAGTTTGAATCAGTGAAAATGGATCAGCAAAGGGTTGATGTTGGTGGACTTGATGGATACTTGAAGATTCAACATTCTATCAGTTGGTGTACTGCGATGAAACTAACTGACCTTTATTCTAAAATTATTTTGTTAACCAGCAAGCAAAATGGTTTAAACTTCTATTCGAATCCAAAAAGATGTAACTGTTAAGTCTGCAGTGTATAATGATAGATATAAAAACCTAAAACTCAATTAAATTTCACCTAAGGTACAGAAGTTTGGAACACAATACGACAACAGGTTGGACACTAGTGGGGAAACAAACTAAAATTCTCACCTCTAATATTGGTTTCAACCTGGTAAAGGCATCTGGCCCAGCTTTGATCAACTCATTTATTTCATCTCTTATCTGCTGTACAATTTTCTTGTTCACATCAATATCACTCTCTATTTTAGTCATCTTGCTTTCTATCAGTTGTAACTAGATCACAAAGTATTTTTTTTTAAAACTCATCTCATCTTGAATTCTGTTAGTTTTGGTATATTATAATGAAAAAAAATAGATCTTCAGACTGGTTTTTATTTCTTATAGAGTGATGGTGATGAATGGTTAAACTCATTGCAAGCTATGGGCAAAAAATGTCTTCTTATTTTATCTAAATCTTAAATGTTTACAGTTAAAATCAATAACTTAATGTGATCGAACAAACAAGACAACTATTATTTTTTTTTTTTTACAAAATACTTACAGAATCTATATTGTTAGATTTGGGGTATGTATTGAGTGTGTCCAACATCATGTATAACATGATCATGGTAACCATAAACAGCAATGCTCCCCAAAGAAAGGTAAACCTCTTCATCTTGAAAGGCTAAATGATGAGGGAGGGGGGGGGGGGGGGTGGAAAAAATAAAACCAAAATTTTAATTTCTTGACACCAAGATGGAATAAATATGTTTTTATTTATGCAATAATTATTACATTAAAAGTTAGGTAGGTTAAATTATTTTATAAAATAAACAAACTTGGAAATGTTTTTTTAATCCAAATTTTTGACACTTTATACCTATAGGAAAAATTCTCCAAAAAGAACACATAAATCGAAGTGAGCAAAAAGTTTTTTTTGTTTTTTTTCACAGCAGTTAATGAATTTTTTTTATTACACAATAATTTTTTTAAATTAATTTCTATCGTACTGACACAAATAATCTTCAGCTAAACATAGGGAGTACAGATTGTCATGAATTGTTGTGCTGTAAGTGTAATAAACTGAAAAGGTTTTCCAAATATTTCACAGGCGATACTAAAAACTTAATAACTTCAAAAACCAACTTTTAAAACATTTGGTTAGATCATGAGACAGAAAATGTACTTCTGTTAAATACAATTGTTTAAATTATTATCACAGGACATGGGGAAGCCCTGGATAAAAATATATATGTAAAAAAAGGGAATTTTTTTTAAAAGTCGCTCTTAATTTTTTTGTAAGTTACAGCAAAATTTTGCTTCATTGTATTAATTACAATTAATGGTAACCCAATTAATAATTAAGGGTATCTATTATCAGTATACCTATAAAGGTATCAAATATGTCATGACCTGTGCCTAAGGCCAGTACACAAGTATAAGTTATTTGAGTACAGACAGTATAGTGAGTATAGGCTAAGTAAAATAATTGTTATTTATTTATTTATTTATTTAGGCATTTTTATATAGCGCTTATCATAAAGCTCTAAGCGCTTTACAATTATTAAAACATGTAAACTAAGTAAATAAAAATGAGACACTAGGATAGTAACTACTATACTATACAAACAATGAAAATGGCTATAAAACAAGGACACTTTGACACTTCAGGATCAACCCGAAACAGAAAATGAGGTAGGGCAAGGAGGGTGCATCACAGGTCATAGGCGGACCTAAACAGATGAGTTTTAAGGGACTTTTTGAAAATGGACGATGTTTCACTATGACGTATTTAATGATACTGGTTTTAAATCTTCATATTTTTTAGTTGGTGGCTAGTGGAGTGTATGATTATGATAGAGCAAGGGGTTGGCAAACTAGGATAAGTTGGGCTAAAAATGAAACTCTTGGGGCTGGGGTAATAAAGGCATAAAGGCTCAATAAAAAATAAATATATTTTATATCTAAATAAAAAGTCTGTTCAATCTTGGGACATTAATTTTTTATTTGACTGTGACAACACTGCATCTGGCCAGTGAGCTACTAATAAATCAATAAAGGAGCACACTACACCCACAAGGCAACATAATGTTGTTGTGGTTACTAGTTACTCAACACCTAGACTGACCTAGCATAGGCTAATTGAAACTCTTGTCTTGTATACTGACATAGTTGTCCAAAACAAGATTTAAAAAACTTATTTTAATTCAAAGTCTATGATTTTCTACCTTTCAAATATTTTGTTTAATCAAATGGGTAACTTGGCCTGACCCCTGTGTGTCTGTTGTTTGTGTCACAGACTTCATAGAGTGGTGACATTTTACAAACAAATGTTAACAAATGCTACGACAGAGTCAGAGAGCTTGAGTGTTGTCAACTCACCTCAGCCTAGTCTACTCAGCACTATTCTAGTGTCTAGATGTTGCAGTAATAGTGTTTGCACTTTTACTTTTAGCTTAGCAGTTTCACAAGTTATTGAAGTTACACTTATGACTTATTATTATACTTATTATCGGTATTATCGGCTTATAATTATAATTGAAGTGGTTATACGAAGCCGACTGCGTATAACCCTGAGAGTTAAACGCAGTCGGCAAGTCACATGAGGTCTATATTGTTTTATTTTTGTTTTGGCTAAAAATGGTTAAAAAATGATAAGAATTAACTTGACCAATGTAATGTTAATAATGTTATTCTTATAATTATCATAATATATATGTGTGTTGTTAACTAATTTTGTGGCAGATAAAAACATGTTTCTCTGGTACAGTAATTATAACCAGGGGTGGAGAGTAGCAGTAAAAAATAGCTGTAGACTGTAGGGGCAGGGGGTTCTGTAGAGGGGGCACTGTAAGTAATACTTTCACACAGTTATAGTTTTGCATGGAAGCTGAAAACTGTTACATTTAGGTCACCAAAAAAAAAAAAATCATGAATGATATAATTTTTTTTAAAATAAATAAAATGTATTTCCTAAAATAGTCAGTAAAACCCACCACATAGTCATAGCAACATATAAAAACCTAATCAATCAGAATACAGAACTAGACTTAAACCATGGAAATGCCTTTTAAAAAAATCATCTTCTTAGGCTTAGACTCTAAGAAATGTAGACTTTGACTTAGACTTATAATTATAATATATAAGATACAAGCAATAATACTAATAATAGCACTAAGTGACTAATACTAATATTCAATATTGATTAAAATTAATTCAATTAAAATTTTATGTTACACACATTAAAACTTATTAAAAGTTATAGTTCAAAACAACCGATAATGCAGCTAATTACTCATTAAATAAAAAAAATTTAATTGTCAAACTAGCGGTAAAAAACCTTATTTGGCTAAATTCCTAGCCGACTGCGTATAACATTGAGAGTTATACGCAGTCGGCTGGGAATAACTCTTAGGGTTATGCGCAGCCGATTGCGTTTAACTTAAAATTAACGAACGCTTCCCAATTATAATCACCATCGGCATCGGTCACTCCGATCAGTGGTCAGTGTCACCGGGTCGTTCAGTCCGTCCGCATACTAGATCAAACGATAGAGCATCAAATAAAAATTAATAGTGAGGAAAACAATATCACCTTATTTTCCTTTACTATTATTTAATATGAAATAAGTATTATGCAAAGTCAGTTTACGTATCTATAACACATGTACAGTATGTGAAAGCATCACAACAGCCGCCATTATGCTGTATCTATTGCTATGTGGCACATTAGAATTTCCGGGTCATAGTTCAAAAATACAAAATTGTTTTTAAAGAATGGGGGTAAGAAAGGGGAAATGGTGCTTTTCATGTAACAGAAGAGTAATTTACATCTGTCGAAAAAGATTGTTGAATTTCATAACTTTTCCTCCTTTTTTTTTTTAAATTAGGGGCTATATGAAAATGTTGTTGTTGTTTTTTTTTTAACTTTATCATGCTTGATATTTCATCTGATATTCGGGACCAAAGAATAATGTGTTTCACTTTTTATGACCGACTTTTAGCCGACTAATTACGTACAACTAGTCTAGACTAGAATAGAATTATGACAACGGGGCTAAATAATATAACAGCCTACTAAGTTCGTTCAGTAACGGAGCGGTACATATTGTACACTATGTTACATTATATAAAATTTAAATAGTATGTATTATATTAAATTAAAGTTCAATTTTTATTCATTATTATCATAATATAATGGCGCATATGATTTAAGTTTTTCACTTTCTTTAATTAAATGAGGATAGACCAAACAACTAACAATGTAAGTGCACGTGCAACGTGTAGAAAATACCAGTGGCGTAGCGAGGGGGTTCGGCGCCAGGGGATAAGATTCGCGCCCGGGGACAAGATCCATTTTAAAGCGCCCCCTTTTCTTTTTTTCAACTCTCAGACCCATTGTTTTTACCAATAATATAATATCAAATCACATTTTGGCGCCCCTAACTAGCTTGCACCCGGGGACATCTGTCCCCTCCTGCCCCCCCCATCCCTACGCCTCTGGAAAACACTAAGTCGTCTAAGGGTAGCCTACGCCACGACGTGCCTCCAATACACCGGTAGGCCTATTTATGAGGATTGATGATTTTGGATGTTCTTTGTCATCTAAATACTTAAATGTGTATTTGTCGTTTGGAACTCAAAAATCTATGTTGCCTCAAGTAAGACTACCGAATCATAGCTGCATCTAAATTATGACAACAAAATATAATTGCCTCTAATTTGAAACAAGGTCCACTTTAACAAATATATATCAATTTAAATGTTTAATTTGTTTGAGCCAGTTAGAAACATTATATTTTGGCGCTGCACTATGTGTTAATAATTTATTTTATTCTTTTTAACTGCAGATAATGTTTTTATATAGTAAAAAAAAAATGCCGCATGAAACGGTATGAATAGTCTTTCGTAGTTGTTTAGATTTTAAAATTAGGCTAATGTGTCGTAATGTCAGTGCTACGTAAAAGAAATATTCACTCACGGCTCACATTCACATAGACCAGGGGTCGGGAACCTATGGCTATGGCTCGCGAGCCTGATGTGCAGTGGCGACGCCATCAAATTAATTAACATGGCGGGTCCCTTGCAGGTCTTAAAAAAATGTGGCGGGTCCCAAATAAATTCTCTTACATGTAATGTAGTTTACGCTTAGTGAGTATATATACCATATTAGTAACTAATAAAAATTTAGATGTTAGATGTTGTGGCGCAATGTTAGATGTTGTTGTGGCGCAATGTTAGATGTTGTTGTGGAAAGCTAGATGCTGCTGTGGCAAAGTTAGATGTTGTTGCGGCAATGTTAGATGTTGTTGTGACAAATTTAGATATTGCTGTCGCAATGTTAAATTTTTTTTGTGGCAAAGTTATATGCTGTTATGGCACTGGCTGGTGGTGAAACTTTTTTCTACTTTCTTAGTATGATTAGTCCCAACAATTTTTTCGAATGATGTTCATGCTGCGTGCTGGTTTAATGTGTTTCACTAATAGTATGTTGTTGTTTGGTTTTTTGTATATGACATGCTACCAGTCTTGAAACTTAATTCATACGCATTTTCAGAAACTTCCGAGACAAACTATTTTTTTTTTTTTTTTTTTTTTTTTTTTTTTTTTTTTTTTTTTTTTTTTTGTGTGCCTTTGTCTTGACTTTGAATTCGCTGAAAATAACCCTAATCCTTATTGGCAATATATGAAGTATTTTATTTTAGATGGCGAATTTGTCCACTGGACTCAACAGCTTCGTTAAAAATTTGTTCATTGCAAATTATACACTCGTGTTTCGGAGCCGGTTCATCAATTCTCTACGAAAAGCTCCACCTCTTATACTTATAAATATCTTGCTACTCATGCGCCCTCCTATCACTTCAAAACTGCCTCGGCCCCCCTATTACCCACATGTTGTTGTTTTTTTTTTTAAATAAATATTGGTGAGTGAAAAGAGGTACGCACCTAGAGTAGCGTTTCCCAAACTTTTAAGTTTCACGGACCGGTGGACAAGTTTCTTAAACTGCACCAGGGACCGGTGCCAGATTTATTAATTACACTTTCTTTCTAATTTAAACATCAATATTCATGCTCTCCGGACCGGCGGATGATGGCCCCAAGGACCGGCACCGGTCCGCGGACCACCACTTTGAGTAGCACTGACGTAGAGGGTTTCATGCGTGACCTCTGAACTCCGGTGAATAGGTTGATTTTGTTTTTTTCTTTTCATGGGAGATAACGATATTAGGCGTTGGAGGAAGACAGAGCAAAATATGGGAAGATAGCATCAAAGACGTGTTTTTCTGTATAAAGAAGTCACCTGAGAGATCTTCAGTACTGTCAAGCTGACCAGGATGGTGTCTTTTTCAAAGATCTCTAGTACTCTCAAGCTGGCCAGAATGGTGTTTTTTTTTTTCCAAAGATCTCAAGTACTCTCAAGCTGTCCAGGATGGTGTTTTTTTTCCAAAGATCTCTAGTACTATCAAGCTGTCCAGGATGGTGTTTTTTTTCCAAAGATCTCAAGTACTCTCAAGCTGTCCAGGATGGTGTTTTTTTTCCAAAGATCTCTAGTACTATCAAGCTGTCCAGGATGGTGTTTTTTTCCAAAGATCTCTAGTACTCTCAAGCTGTCCAGGATGGTGTTTTTTTTCCAAAGATCTCTAGTACTCTCAAGCTGGAAAGAATGGTGTTTTTTTCCAAAGATCTCTAGTACTCTCAAGCTGTCCAGGATGGTGTTCTTTTTCCAAAGATCTCTAGTACTCTCAAGCTGTCCAGGATGGTGTTTTTTTCAAAGATCTCTAGTACTCTCAAGCTGGCCAGAATGTTGTTTTTTTTTTCAAAGATCTCTAGTACTCTCAAGCTGTCCAGGGTGGTGTTTTTTTTCAAAGTTCTCTAGTACTCTCACGCCGTCCAGGGTGGTGTTTTTTTTCCAAAGTTCTCTAGTACTCTCACGCCGTCCAGGGTGGTGTTTTTTTTCTCCAAAGTTCTCTAGTACTCTCACTCTGACCAGGATGGTGTTTTTTTTCTCCAAAGTTCTCTAGTACTCTCAAGCTGTCCAGGGTGGTGTTTTTTTTTCCATAGATCTTCTGTACTCTCACTCTGACCAGGATGGTGTTTTTTTTTTCCAAAGATCTTCTTTACTCGCGAGCGGGATTTGTTTTCATTAAACGGTGATGAATTGTAACCTCGGTAGTGTAGATTTTTTTCTTCTTTTTTTTTTTTCAAACACCCAGCCGAAGTACTACCACAATACAGGCTTGAAATGGGTTTGTTCAAAGAAGAACGCGACAATGATCACCGTTACTGGCTGCCGCTTCTCACACACTGCATCAATTATTTAAATGGTGACTTTCCTGTTACGTGGTCAGTACATGTAAAACACTGTAGATGTTCAGTCAATGCGCAGTGCTGTTTGAACACAACACCTTTGACAACGTGTTAATGAGACTATCGATGTCCCATTCTGTTTCATTGATTTCATATTGTCTTTGGGTGTTTTTTCTGCTTCTTATAATTGAGGGGTGGGGGGGGGGGTGGTGCACGATCAATTTATTGATCAATCTGCCCCTTCCCGGTCTCCGGTTGACTTGTCTGTGGTGGCTTGTCGATTAGGAGGCGTCGGCCACCGACCCCCTCGACGTTACCCGGGAAACACGACCACTGGGCGCGTACTGCATGGGCAGACAAGGGATGTGCTCGGTACCTGCCGTGATATTTCCCAGCTGGAACAATAGGCAGTGACAGGGTAGGGATCATGATTACAAGTTGCCTCTAATGGATATGAGGCGAAGGTGGTAACACCTGGCCGATGATTCTTACTACGCAGCCCTGAGAAGCTGCTCCAAGGCAACCGTTTCGTCCCAGCTGCATCGCGAATTAGTGGCGTTGTGGAAACCCACTGTAGAATCCCTCTTATAGGGCGTCTAACGCTTCCCCATGATGGGTGGGGGAAGATATTAGGACGTAAATGTTTTCATCCCGACTCCTGAGAAAGTCGATCGTGTGCACTGTGTGCAAACACAGTGTTGGACGGACCGGGTGTCTTTGGGTCAGGACGGCCCCCGGCGGAGACGTGGTCGAGCAGACTCGGGTGGGGGCCGTCCTGACAAAGGGACATCCCCGACGAATCCGGGGTTGGGGAGAGGTGTTTTGGGGAGTGCATAAAGAGCGCAAGCTCAACGGCCCGCTAACGCCATTTCTTAATGTAATATATATATATATATATTATATATATATATATATCAATCTGCCTCTTGGATTGAATTCAGAGTTCCATCATCCACCCGGGATGTTGGCTTTGTTGGGGATTGGACTCCAGACCACCAGCTTGGTGGGGATTGAACTCCAGACCACCAGCTGTTGGGTTTGAGTCAGTTTAGACCGCTCGGCCACCCAGCATCCTCTGGGGATGATGGGGGGGGGAGATTTTTCCCGCGGCACATCTAGCATGTATAGTCTCGCGGCACTCACCGGTTGCTGAGTGGTCATGGCGACAGCTGTGATAGATAATCGTTCTTTCCCTTATACATCAATGTTGTGTTCTTGTTATCAGCCGACAACTAGTGGGCCGGGCCCTTGAATGCATCAATGCTTATGGTGGCCCATCTGAACGGACGGAAAGATATGTATTTTTGACAAGGTGTGACATTCTTGGGCGATGGGGCTTCTTTGTTGTTTTTTTCTTCCGAAATTAATTTCAGCTGTGAAGTGTCGTATAAACAGTTATA